CATCTAGATGGCTGCTTGCAAGCTTTTAAGATCCCAGTTGCTACTCACCAAAGTAGGAGGTGGAACAGTGTTTTGTGTAGTATGTTATGCCAATTGAGCTTGATGTCCCCTGCAACTATGGTCCTAAGCACACAGGTTCAACTGCTCGCTCCCCCTGGGTAGCTGGCTGTGGCCAAGAAATGACTACAACCTTGTTCCTTGTCAGCTCTACTATACACCTGGGAATTCAGATCATACAAATAAACTTATAGGACCACTGTCTGCCAATCCTATACATGGTCTTGGGTACACTCCCTACTTCATAGACATACCTACTAGTTCAGTCTGTCCACCCATCTATCCACCCATATACCTGTTTTCCTTCACTGACAATGCAGTACTGTATGTACAAAATGGTTCATCTTTGTTGTCTGTACCTCCCATGTACCTCTCTATGTCTTTCTCTTCCTCAGTGCCACCATGTTGATCATTCACATTTGGCACATTGCCCTTCTCTTCACTCAAATTAATACTTATCTCTACCTATCTAACAGTGTCCCTCCCTGCCCTCCCACTCTTGGTAACTAACAAAGAAAATTTCCTTCCATATCTAAACTGTTCCTTGACTTTTACAATAACGGAGTAATACAATATTTGTCCTTCTGTAATTGACTTATTTCACTCAGCATAATGTCCTCCAAGTTCATCCACGTTATGTGGTGTTTTGCAGATTCTACAGTATTCTTTTCCATTGCATAGTATTCCATTGTATGTATGTACCATAGTTTGGCTATCCATTACTCAGTTTATGGACACCTAGCTTGTTGTGCATATGTCTGTTCTTATCATGGTCTCACTTCTTTAGGATATATACCTAGTAAGGGAATGGCTGGGTCAAGTGGTATTTCTAATTCCATCTTTTTAAGGATTCCCCATACTGCTTTCCACAGTGGTTGTACCATGCAGTCCTACCAGCAGTGTATGAGAATCCCAGTCTCTGCACATCCTCGCCAGCATTTGTTATTTTGTGTATTGTTGAACTTTGCTACTAGTGCTGGGGCAAGCTGGTATCTCATTGTTGTTTTGATTTGCATCTCTCTAATAGCTAATGGTAGCATAGTGGCTAAAGCACTTGACTGCTAACCAGAAGGCTGGTGGTTCAAACCCACCAGCCACTCCTCGGAAGGAAGGTTGGGCAATCCTACTTCCGTAGTGATACTGCCTCGGAAACCCAAGGAGGGGTCGCTATGAGTCGGGGCCGACTCGATGGCACATAACAACAACAACAACAATAGCTAATGATTGTGAGCATTTCTTCATATGTCTGTTGGCCGCTTGAATATCATCCTTGGTGAAGTGTCTATTCATGTCTTCTGCCCATTTTTTTAATTGGATTGTTTGTCTTTTTGTTATTTAGGTGTTGGAGTTTTCTATAAATTCTAGAGATAATTGTTGTGACAGTTTTGTATTTCATGCATTCTGATAGGTGTAGTGATATTTCATTATAGTGTTCATTTTCATTTCCCTAATGGCTAATTAGGAGCTCTTGTGGCATAGTGCCTAAGGTATTTGACAGCTAACCAGAAGGCTGGCATTTCAAATCCACCAGCCATTCTTCAGAAGAAAAACTGTGCAATCTACTTCCATAGAGATACTGCCTTGGAACCCCAGGGAGGGTTTGCTATTAGTCTGAACTCACTTGACGACAGTGATTTTGGTTTTTTTAGTTAGTTAATGGCTAATTGGAGCCCTGGTGGCTGGGCTGCTCATCAGAAATTTGTAGTTTGAAACCCATCAGCAGCTTCACAGGAGAAAGATCTGGCAGTCTGCTTCCATAAAGATTACAACCAATAAATCCCTATTGAGCAGTTCTACTATGTCACACTGCTATTCATAAGATTTTCCCTGGGCAATTTTTTCAGAAGTTGATGGCCCTGTCCTTCTTCCCAGTCTGTCTTAGTCTTGAAGCTCCACTGAAAGCTGTCCATCCTGCGTGACTCTGGTGGTATTTGAAATACTGATGGCATAGCCAGAATAGTAGTGAAACACTGATACATTACTGGAAAACTTTATGAATACCTGAGAAACATTGTCTGATATAGTGGTGGAAGATGAATTTCTCAAGTTGGAAGGCACTGAAAATATGACTGGGGAAGCACTGACTCATCAAAGTAGTGTTGACTTTAATGACATGGATGGAGTAAAGCTTTCAGAACCTTCATTTGCTGATGAGGCATAACTCAAAATGGGAACAAACAAATGCAGACATCCATTAATAATTGGAATGTGGAATGTATGAAGTATGAATCTAGGAAAATTGAAAATTGTCAGAAATGAAATGGAGTCCATAAAGATTGATATCCTAGGTATCAGTGAGCTGAAATGGACTGGTTTTGGCTATTTTGAATTGCAATCATAAGGTCTGTGTTCTGGTTACCTAGTGCTGCTCTGACAGGAATATACGACACATTGGATGGCTAAACAAACAGGAATTTATTCTCTTACAGTTTGGAGGCTTTAAGTCCAAGTTCAAAGTGCCAGGCCCTAGGGGCTGAGTGAAAGCCCCTTAGCCTTGGGCTTCAGCTCTGCCTCCCAGCCCAATGAAGCTAGAGGCTTTTCTTCACTTGGACAGCTGCTGACTGCTGAGATTCCCAAGCCCAAGGTTGACAAATAAAAAGGCACAATCCTGATGTTACCAATTCACATGGCAGGACATTCATTCAAGTCTGCTGAAAGTCCCCAGGTCAACAGAGCATGGCAGGCTGCTTAACAGCAACAACACGGCTACATGCAGGGTCCAAGTGTGCCACATGCTGGAGATCATTCCCAAAGCTGCTATTTACATAACAGGTAGCAGACCACATACCCAAAATAGCTTCTTAGCTGCTCACAGTAGATTGCACCATGGAGTTGATTACCAGGGTTATCATGGGGAATACTACATCCAACTGCCCAGCTACTCTACCAGGCATAGCCAGGTTGACATATAACTTTAACTACCACAGTCTACTATGCTAGGAATGTCACACTGAAGTGGAATGGAATGAAATTCATTATCAAAAACAATGTTTCAAGTTCTGTCTGAAGTACAGTGCTGTCAGTGATAGGATGATATCCATATGCCTACAAGGAAGACCACTTAATACTACTAGTATTCAAATTGATGCACCAAACATTAAAGCCAGAGACAAGGAAATTGAAAATTTTTACCAACTTTCTGTGGTCTGGAGTTGACCAAATGCGCAATTAAGATGAATTGATTATTACTGCTGATTGGAATGAAAAAGTTGGAAACAATGAAGAATCATCAGTATTTGGAAAAATACGACCTTAGTGGTAAACATGATGCTGGAGATTGCATGATAGAATTTTGCAAGACCAATGACTTATTTGTTGCAAATACTTTTTTCAACAATATAAACAGTGGCTGTACATGTGAACCTCACCAGATGGACTACATAGGAATCATATGGACTACTTCTGTGGCAAGAGGTGATGGAGATGCTCAGTATCTTCAGTCAAAACAATTCCAAGAGCTAACTGTGGAACACCCTATCGTTTGCTCATATGCAAGTTCAAGTTGAAGCTGAAGAAAATTAAGACAAGGCCATGAGAGCCTAGTTTTCCTCCTTGTGCCCTGGCCTGGAAATTCAGGGCAGTGAGGTGGGGCGTATGTCTGATAGACTGCGTATTGTTTATCATTTTTTATTTTTTTGTCATGAATTCTAGGGGTAAGTAAATATATGCAGCATTTTCACAGATTGCATGTATGTAGCTTAAACTGTTGTAAGCCTGTTGAGTCACAGTGTCTTCATTTTCCTATAGTTACAGTGAATCTGCTGAAAATAGCTTCTTTATAGAAGTTTAAATAAAATAGAATAAGTTATTTTTATTCTGAAAAGGCATTGATGAGTAAATCTCTGGAATAGCAAAATGCACATTACAGTGTGTTTTGGAATTAAACTAGAAGAAATAGGGAAAACTAATTTTTAAAATAGTACCAAGTTATTTTTCTCTTTTAGGCGTACCTTCAGATGCTGATTCTCCTGCAGTCAGTAATAAAATCAGTGGTGCAAATAATCCTAAGCCAAACCGCCCTTCTCTTGCCAAGATTCTCTTGTCATTGGATGGAAATCTGGCCAAACAGCAGGCCTTATCTCATATACTAACAGCATTGCAAATCATGTATGCCAGGTAGGCTGTTTGCCAGCTTTGGAAATCCTGCAATTATATGAGCTTTGTATTTTGCAATTTTTTGATTAGCCAAATGTTTCCAAGAATGTGTTACTGTCTTTAGGGTGAGTAATAGGTAACATACCCTTTGATGGTTAAGGATGGTATCTTTCTTCTTCTTTTGATGAATATTGAAATATGAATCTGTAAACCCAAGTTAAATGCTTTCATTACTCTTTTTTGGGAAAGGAAGAATTGATAGGAATTTGTAGTAATATTTAAAACCAGCTCTCATACGCTTCACTTAAGCCCTTGATAAGACAGATTTTCAGTAGTGTTATCTGTTTGAAAATTCTACTGCTATTTTTTCCATAACCTAAGTAAGTCGCTTATCTATTAATATATCATGGCTATGGACCCGATGAATAGAAATGGACACTTATATAGGAACCATAGGAGTCAGAGCCCTTCATTTCAGAGCAAAGCCAGTGTGAATCGTTGAGAGGACATTCAGTCCTTACTGCATAGATGAGGCTCCTTGGTATATTGCATGCTTTCAGTAAATATAAAATTACTCATTGTTCAAATAACTGGACCTCAGATTATAACAACAACCCAAGAGTTTTTCTCAGGATTATTCTGTTCTTATTTTTATGTTTGGCATTTTCTCACTTGTCTTCACTGTGGTTGTTCAAATAAATAACTTCCTGGGTAAACATTTCAGCTTTCTACTGAGATGAATACATGCTATTAATATTTTATATTCTTCCCAAACTGTTTTACATGTATTCTGTAAAAGTGTGGTAATCCTTCAAAAAGAGCTTATTGTATCTTTCTAACTCATACATTGTATAGCATGAGAGAGCAGCTCACCAAATGTTTGGCTTTTTGTTTTGACAGAGATGCAGTAGTAGGAGCTCTGATGCCAGCTGGCATGATGGCACCAGTGGAGTGTCCTTCATTCTCATCCGTACCACCTTCTTCCGATATGTCTGTTATGGCCAGTCCTGTGAGTGGAGAAGAATGTGTGCTGGCTGTTGATATTGAAGACAGATTGAGTCCAAATCCATGGCAAGAAAAGAGAGGAGAGGTAAAAAGTTAATTGTAAGACTATAAAACAATATTATATTAGAAAGAAAAAATAGGAATTTTCTGTTTGGGAAAATATCAGTCATTCACTAAATTTAGAGAGTTTTTGTGTCTACTGCTTTGATTTTTGGATTGAACTAGAAACTTGTTCTACTTAACTGCACATTTTTAGTGTTTCAGTGGAAATAGATTTATGTTTTATATAGTGCTTGAATGCAAGTCTTTAATCTGCATTTCTAAAATCTTAAAAGCTCTGAGAACCAAAAGTCTTGGAAAAACCCAATTTAAAAAGATGTGCAGCTCATTTTAGTCTTGTTCATGTGAATATCAGTAGGTCTTACTGCAGATATGAAGGTGCTTGACTTCCTAGCACTACCCTAGATCCCACTGGAGGTGGTAGCTGATATGTAGAAGTACTGTGTATAAGAACATTTTGAATGGCCCAAAGTGGTTTTAAAGAAGGCATTTTTTTTTAACTTTTTATTGTGATTTGAATGGAAATTTACAGAGAAAATTGGTTTTCCATTCAACAATTCATACATATTTTGTTTTGTGACATTGATTGCAATCCCCACAGTGTATTATTACTCTTTTCATGTCCTCCCTGTGTTCCCCTTTTCCATTTGTTCTCCTTTCCTATCTCTTCCTGTCCTCTGCGATTCATCTCCAGGCAAAAGCTGTTCTTTAGATTTCAATACAGCCAATTGTTTTAAGGAGTTCATACCCCTCTATTGTTATTATTCACCTTACATAAAGCCTAGATTTCTTGATGGTTACATCAAAGAGAAACTTTTTCTAAAGCCCTTGGTACATAGGAAGTATTCTAGAAATTTTGGATAACATTATTACTATTGTCATTGTTATGTTTATAATTATAATAACTATTATTACCACTTCTACTGTTGCCAGTAATGTCACATCCAATCCACTGCACAGTGTCAACTGCAGCTTCTCTTGTCGCATCCTCCATGGATTCTAACCTTGCTCAGGCCACTGGTGTAGCCCAGGCCATTTAAGAAAGGCATTTTTGACCTGTGTAGGAAATGTAACTTGTTGCTGAGTTGTTTCCACTTCAACTTCCCTCTCCTGTGTACTTTTAAAACCTAGATAATTTCTTCTGAAGATGCTGGAACTCCCTCTGCAGTGACTCCCTCTGCTTCTTCAGCTTCTTCCCGGCCATTCATTCCTGTAACAGATGATCCAGGAGCTGCCAGCATAATTGCAGAAACCATGACTAAAACTAAAGAGGTAGGAGGCTTTCTTTAACTTTTTATCTTGAAATAGTTTCAGATTTATACAGAAGTTGCAGAAGTAACACACAGAACTGTATATTGTTCACCTGGACTCTCCACTTGGTTAACACTTAGGAACCATTTGTGAGTAAATGTCAGGACACAATCTCAGTCACCCAACATACATTTCTTGAATACAAGTCCATTCACCTACATGACCAGTGTGACTACCAAAGTTAGGACATGGACATTCATTCAGCATTGCTTTCTAATCCACAGAGCTGTTCACATTTTGCTGATTGTCTCAACAATGTCTTAGAAGTCTGAGATCCAACCAAGGGTTGTGTGTTGTCTCTTTTATCTTCAACTTGGCATAATTTTTCAGTCCTTCTTTTTGGCAGAAATACTACAAATAAGGTGTTCATTACAGCACATCAAATGGGGAGACATACATTGTTAATTTGATAAAAACATTACTGGTTTTTATCACTTGGTTAAAGGGAACAGCCAGCTTTCTTCATTAGCAGTTAAATGTGTTTACTAAATATTCATGGAGAGATTTTTTGAGACTGTGTAAATATCTTATTGTGCATACTTTTTCTTACTAGTTTTTCTACATCTATTGATGATTCTAGCTGAATCCATTATTACTGTGGTAGTTGTCAGATGGTGACATTTCTAACATTCTTTCTAGGATGTAATTGTAGCGCTTTCCCTTTTCTATTTTAGATTTCCATTTAACTGATATAGTGACATATACTATCATCATTTCACCTGCAAATTATCCCAGACTTGGCCATTGAGAACCTCTTTGTGACATATTTCCATCATCCTTTGAGTACTTCCTTACTTTGTGCAAAATAGTGTGTTCCAGACTCATCTTATGCCTAAGAAGACCTTGGGTCTTCTTAATGGGTCAGGGGATTTGGACACCTAGATCTGCACTCTGGGTTATGTGATTATGTCTAGGTGTGCTTAGGTTAGAAGCTTTAATGGTGCATTGATTAAAGCATTCTGCTGCTAACTGAATGGTCAGTAGTTTGAACCCACCAGCCACTCGGAGGGAAGAAGATGTGGCAATCTTTTCCCATAAAGATTCACAGCCTTGGAAACCCTGTGGGCCAGTTCTACTCTGCCTGATAGGGTCACTATGAATCGGAATCACCTTGATGGCAGTAAGTTCTGTTTTTTGGGGGGTTTGGTCATTGGTTTAGGCCCTTTCAGTGGACAGATAGTCATACACATAAGTATTTCTATGTCATCAAAAATTTCAATTCTGTTCCAGCCCCGCAGAGTTTGGCCTCACTCTGGCCCTTTGCAGACTTTAGTGGGTCACTCTTTCTATATTTTACTGAGTTTGGTTTGCTAGTATATTTGTGAGCATTTTCACATCTTATTTTTAAGAATATTCATCAGTAATTTTCTTTTCTTGTGATGTCATTGTTTGGTTTTGGTACCAGGGTCTCAAAGAATGAGTTGGGAAATGTTTCTTCCTCTTCTGTTTTTTAGAAGAGTTTGTGAGGGATTGGTGTTAATTCTTTTTAAAACATTTGGTAGAATTGCTTGTGTCTTTTTTCAGGGTCTCTTCATTCTTTGAGTGTTTATTTTCTTTCTTGCACAATAGTGTTCCAGGCTTAAAAAGGTATTTTTAATTCCAGCAGAGAAAGAAACAGTTTTTCCAAGACGTTCTCGTAATCTTTAGTGGAGAATGGTATTGAGAAGCCAAGATCTGGGCCCATATTGCTAATTGCTACTTGGGTGTGTTCTTGAGACCTCTTAATGATCAGAGTGAAGGAATAAGTGTTAGGTGTGTAAACACAAATAGGTATTTACGTCAATATTTATTTCTCTCTCTCTCTCTCTCTATATATATATACACACATATAGAAAACCACTCATTTATACTGTTACACAACAACGCAGGATTCATTCTAGATTTTTATCTTGCTGTGTTTGTAAAGCTCTTCTCTGAAAGTAAGGAACCTGGATCCTATTACTGACTAATTGGTTCAATCTCTTTTGGAACCAGTCTCACATCTTGGCCACTATTCCCTCCTTTCTTTACCTTGTGCAGTCACTGGCACTTACAGCTGGAGATGACCAGCTAGGGATGACCTCTTCACCCTACTCAAGCTGTGACCTCCTTCCCTCACCCTCATGCAGGCTGCTGTAAAGCATGAACGCTTTCCTTACTTCCTTTGGGCCTGCAGCTCTGGCTACCCTCACTTATGGTAAGCCTTTGCTTACCTCTGACGTCCCTTGCAAGCCCCATGCTATCTGGGGGCAAACAGGCATTATTTTTTATTCCATCTAAAACTTTTGATTTACTGTGCTACTAGTGCTGGGAAAAATGTTGTGTGGGGATTATTAGTATAGTAATTATTATCTATAGTAATAAGAAAATTACTATTTTTAAATTAATGCATCTGATATCACCTTGTGAGTTTGGGTGATCTGTTAGGATAAGGGTTTAACCCAGAGATTATTCTGAAGAAGGCAGTATTTTTGCTTTTAGATAGAGGACAGATGGTATGATTTATTTTCCACAAATTAAGTTAATGAGCAAATTTTTTTTTCCACCTATTTGTTGAGTTCTCATTTATTTATGAGACATAGGAGGCATTATTATCTTATACTCCCTATAATACCTATAAGTTAAGTTTGGGTTTGATTCATATATTATGACAAGGTAATATTTATGTTTATGTTGAGCTGTATGTAATTCATGATCAAAGACATGCTGATAGTAATTATTTTTTTTTAAGCAGTTTCTCCCGACTTTTTTTTTTTTTTCTTAAGAAAACCCATTCTATTTTCACTTGGCAAGCCAGAGATGTCTTATGTAAATAATCAATTCTGCTAAATGCTTCTGCTGTTCCTCATTGAGTCAGAGTGTGGAATGTTACCATTTCTGGTGAACTTCACTTAACCCTAGGTTACCACGCAGAAGTAAGAGCCAGATTGTTTTTTTGTTTCTTTTTAAAATAATCTTTTTTATTTTTGTTACTATTGCTGTGCAAAATATACACAATAGAACATACATCAGTTCAACAATTTCTGCATGTAAAATTCAGTGACATTCAGCCATCCCCCCAGAGGGACCAAGTAGTTGAACCTGTGGGCTTGAGACCATAGTCGCAGGAGACATCAAGCTCAATTGGCATAACATACTATATAAAACATTGTTCCACCGCCTACTTTGGCGAATAGCAACTGGAATCTTGAAAGCTTGTAAGCAGCCACCTAGATGCAACAATGGGTCTCTCCTTGTGCAGAGCAAAGAAGAATGAAGAAAACCAAAAATTCAGGGAAACAGTTAGTACTAGAGACTGGTACACCATGCGATGTGCAGCCTATATGACTATGAGACCAGAAGAACTAGATGGTGCCCGGCTACCACTGTCAACCACTTGGAAAGGGATCTATTTAGGAGATTGTGGATAGAGAGGGAGAACAATATGGAACAAAACTCAAAATCATTTGGAGAAAAAAAAAAAGGGATGGACCAGGTTTGCTGGTCTGATAGAGCATACTAGAACCACTGAGACTATGGCCCCAGCTGCCCTTCAGGTCTGGAATTGAACCCACACCTATGGCTTCCAGCCAAACAAAAGACAGGCATATGAGAACATTTACCTGAGGTAGATACACTCCTTGGAGAGAACAATCATGGGAGAAAGAAGGACTGTTTATGCACAGGGAGACAGCTTATGGGGCAAGAGTGCATGGAGGGATGGACACGAGGAAGAGCTAACTATCAGGAGGCAGTGGGAGGGAAGCTGTTGCATTGTGGTAAATTGTAGTCAATGTCATGAGACAATGTGTATGTGAACTGCTGTGTGGAAAGTGACTTTGCTCTGTAAATTTTCACCCAAATCACAATTAAAAAAAAAAAAATCCGTGACATTGATTACATTCTTCAAATTGTGTAACACATTCTTACCCTCCTTTTCTGAATTGTTCCTCTCCCTTATAATAAGAACACACTGTCTCCTAAGTTTCCTTTCTAAACTTTCAAGTTGATGTTGTCAGTTTCATCCTGTATAGGTAGATTTTCAAAAGAGCGTGATGTTCAAAGCAGATACCCTTTACTAATTAATTAAACTATTACTTGGTTTAAAGAAAATGTCAGGGGATCTTCTTGGTTTAAAGGTTTAAAGAGTAACTCAGGGCAACTTTTGGTAGTTCATCCAGCCTCAGTGGCTCCATTAATCTGGAATCTGTAAAAATTTGAAAATCTGTTCTGCATTTTTCCCACTTGTGATCAGGATTTTTCTATAGAATCTGTGATGAAAATGTTCAAAGTGGCAGCTGGGCACCATTTATTTCTGGCAAAGGAGGTAATTGTTCATGGAGGCAACTAGTCATGCATTCCATTTTTTCATCCTATTCCTGTCTCTCCTTCCTCTTATGCCAGACAAATAGAGACTAGTTCTTGTACCTAGGAAATCTGCTTGAAATTTTTAAGATCCCAGGCAATATATAAGAAACCAGAAGGTAAAACCAAAGTACTAAATACATTAGGCCAGTTAACTGGATGTCCCAAGACCCATGACCCTAACCTCCAAACAAAATCAAATCCCATGAGATGTTTGCTTGTACATAAACAGCCTTAGTAGCAACTTTTTTTTTTTTTTTTTTGCAGGGCAGGGGAGGGTTGTTAAAAATACATAGTACATGATATTTGCCAATTCAACTGTTTACAGGTTTACAACTTATCGTCAATAGTTACATTAATAGACTCTGCAGTCTTACCCTTAATCAATGTAATTTTTCCATTACAGTATTTGAAATTCTGTTGGTATTAATTTCTTTCCTTACTACCCTGGTGACCACTAATAACTTTGGTCTCTATACCTTTGCCTGTTACTATTTTTTCTGTAATTGAGGCCACACAATATTTGACCTTTTTTGACTTATTTCACTCAGCATAATTTCTTCAATTCATCCATATTTTACAATATATGAAGACTTCAATTCTACTGGCTGAGTAGTATTTCATTGTGTGTATTGTATGTACCACATTTTGTTTATCCATTCATTCTACCTTCGAGCTATTGGGACTAGTGCTAAAATAAACATTAGTGTACAAATGTCTGTCTGCATATCTTCTTTCTTGTCCCTTATGTATGTTCTTAGCAGTGGACTTGCCAGGTCATAAAGTGGTTGTACTTTCAGTTTTTTGGGGAACCACCACATTATTTTCCACAACGGCCCATACCACTTGCATTCCCACCAGCAATGGATAAGCATTCTAATTTCTCCACATCTTCACCAACTTTCCCCCCCCCCCCCATCTTAACCATCTTAGTGGAAGTGAAGTGGTATCTCATGACTAATGATGTCAACCATTTTTTCATGTGTTTGGTGGCCATTTGAATATCCTCTTTGGTGACATGTTCAAGTTCTTCACCCATTTTTTGATGGATTATTTATCTTTTTTTTGTTAATTTGTCAAAGTACAGAATTGTTTTTTTAAAAAACCTTGTTCCTGGTGCAGGATTGTGGAAATCAAGAGCTCCCAACCTGGTCATGTGAATTTTAGAGTTGGCATGGGGTCACCTTTTCTTGTTTCTGTTTCTGGAGAGAGCTGGCACTCTAGAGTTTTGCTGAGATTTAGTAAGCAGGAGAGAAGAGAAGAGGCATTTCTCTGGCTCCTTGCCCTTCCTTTGGTGAGCCAGTCTGCCTAGGATACTTAAATAGCCTGTTTCCTCCCCTTTTAGCACAGAGTCATCATGATTCCTACTCCTTCCAAAGGCAGAAGCTTTAGGATAACCCAGTTCTGACAGTTCCCTCTCCACAAGGCAACACATTTAGTCAATAGCAAATCCCCATGCCTAAGCTTAAGGGTGGGATTCCATGTTGTATGGTGTTAACTTCATTCCAATCTCCCTCTGTAACAAATACCTGTAATATGAACGTGATCTCAGTAGTCAATGATCATTTCTTTGTAGTTTAAGATATTTGTGACAGATGGTATCGGTGATTTGTAAAATAGTTACTTTATCTTAAAAACATAATAGTTGGCTTTGTGAAGATTTGATGGCTTGTTATTTCTTAATTAATATGGTATTTCATGGTCTTTAACATTTAAAGTCCCTTACTCATCATTGGTAGTCATATGTCTTTTGAGTTTGTGGGTAAATTGATGTGTGTCTTTCAGTGTATCATTAATAATTTTAATTGTTTAACTTTTTAGGATGTTGAAAGCCAAAATAAAGTGTCAGGCCCAGAACCTCAATACCTGGATGAGTTCACCAGTCTGTTAATAGCAGACGACACCCGGGTCTTGGTGGACCTGCTCAAGCTGTCTGTCTGTAGCCGGGCTGGGGAGAGGGGCAAGGACGTGCTCTCAGCTGTTTTGTCTGGCATGGGTACTGCTTACCCCCAGGTGAGTCATGGTGGTGCTCTCTCCTTGGCTCTGAGGTGACCTTCTCCCAGGGAGACTGCTGTTGGAAGTACATATCACCTTCTGCTTGCTTTTATTCTAGTAGAGGGTAGTTCAGAATGACTTCTACAACACGTTAGATTAAAATACTAGGGACACGCTTTACCGATTGTGGAGCCAGTTTGAGGATTTTTTTCTTACTGATTTGTCACAGTAATTTAAATAAAGCCTCTTTTTATTGCTATGTGCTGCAGGTTCCCCCTCCCCAGTTTGCATTTTGAATTATTTAGATATTTATGCCAATGTAGAACTTTCTGATTTTTATGCAGTGAGATTGCCTTTTTTTTTCATTTTTGCCTCTGGGTTTCATACTGTGTTGAAAAATGCTTATGTATATGATACTGTTTTAAAGTTACTCTCCCAAGTTTTCTTTTAATCATTTTTATAGTCTTATTTATTAAATTTACATTTTTATCCCATCTGGGATTTATCTTTGATGTAAGAAATAAGGTAAGGATCCAACTTTATTTTTTCCTATATGGCAAACCTGTTGTCCCAACATCATTTATTGATGAACCCATATCTTCCCCAGTGATTTGAGAACCACTTTTATCATATTCTTAAGGAACTCTGGTGGCATAGAGATTAAAGCATTCACCTGCTAAGCAACAGGACAGTGGTTTGAACCCACCACCAACTGTTCTGCAGGAGAAATGATTAGGGAGTCTGCTTCCATAAAGATTTACAGCTCTAGAACTCCTATGGGGCAATTCTACTCTGTCTTACAGGGTCATTGCGAGTGGGAATCAACTCTGTGGTAATTGGTTTGTTGTTTTGGGTTTATTATATTCTGAATTTTTATATGTGTTTGGTTTTTTATTGACTCTTCTCTGTTCCATTGATCTAACTCTTTATACTCTTATACCAGTGTTTTGACTACTATAACTTTATGTTTTAACATTTGGTGGGTTTGGGTCTAATAGAACTTTCTGCTGTGCTGGAAATGTTCTGTATCTGTGCTATCTAGGACAGGAGCCATTAGTTACATGTGGCTATTGAGGACTTAAAATACAGCTAATGTACCCAAAGAACTGAAGTTTTAATTTTATGTAACTTTATTTATATTTAAATAGCCACTTGTTCTAGTCTCTGTTTAATTGGTCTAGTCCACAGATCTAGAGTAGAAGGTAAATATCACATCATTATGTCTTAACAATAGGAGCTCTGGTAGCGTAGTGCCTAAAGGCACTTGACTGCTAACCAGAAGGCTGGCAGTTCAAACCCACCAGCCACTCCTCGGAAGGAAGATGGGGCAATCTACTTCTGTAGTGATACTGCCTCGGAAACCCAAGGAGGGGTGGCTATGAGTCATGTCTGACTCAATGGCATATAACAACAGCAACAACGTCTTAACAATAGGATTGGTAAGTCCTAACAGCCTTTGGATTTCCAAAGGGCTCTCATGTATGAAAGCCTTGCTTTGCTTTCCCAGTTTGGTAGTCTTAGGTCTTAGGGAGTCTCCTACCTGAATTGCTAATATTTGATAAGTGTTGTTTTAGTACAACTAAACAGGCCTTTTAAGTATCCTAGGCAGTACAATAGTACAGTCACCAAATTAGGAAAGTATTTAACTGAAGTTAACTGCTCTTGAAAATAGTAAATGACTTGGTGAATATTTTAGGGGCTTACCACTTCTTAGTTATTGTGGAAGAAATAAAATGTTACTGGTTTCTTACCTACTAGTTTTTTGAGAAAATTTACTTGACATAATTTTGAGAGATTAAACCAAGGTGAATTGCCATAAGCAAAGCATTATTTTTTTCTACAAGTGAGAGGTGAGAATATATAAATGAGAACTCTGGTATAAATAATGTCTGGTCTTTTCTTCCATGTATCAGGCCTGATTCTGAGCATGTTCTCAGTGTAGCCATCTTAACATCATTTACTGACTAATCCATATTTTCCCTAGTGATTTGAGAACCTCTGCTGGCATAGTGCCTAAGCCATCTGACTGCTAACCAGAAGGCTGGTGGTTCAAACCCACCAGCCACTCCTGGAAAGGAAGGTTGGGCAATCTACTTCTGTAGTGATACTTTTTCAGAAACTCAAGGAGGGGTCGCTAGGAGTTGGAATCAACTTGATAGCAGTGAGTTTGTTTTTGTTTTTTTTTTTTAAAAATCATATTCTTAAAGAGCTCTGGTGGCATGGTAAAAACTTTATTTATAGATGAGATAACTGAGTCTCAAAGAGGTTTTTCTGGCTCAAGGATGCAGCCTGCTAGTAGGTGGCAGAAATGGGCTCATGCTGAGCTCTAAGTCTAACCTTCTTCTCAGAAGCTTATTAGCCTCGGCTCTGTCTGGACTGTGGGGCTTTTGCAGAGGAAGCTCTTGGCCACCAAAGACCACAGTACAGTCCACATGGAGGAACTTGATGATGCTAATATCTTCTTTTCAGTAACTCAAACCACTGAAGATATGACTATCTACAAATTGTCCTTGCCAGTGGCATGATGGCCACTCCTGTGTCTATCGGGTTTTAATATTTGGGACTATTAATAAAAAAAAGATATATTCAATATGTAATGGTAGCACTTAGGTGATAATATTAGTTTGCAACTATTCACTAAGCTAAGCTGTTCATTATCTGTTATTGTTGCATGCTATTGAGTTAATTCTGACTCATAGTGACCCTGTAAGATAGAACTGCCCCACAGGATTCCCTGTGCTGTAAATCTTTACAGGAGCAGATCACCAGGTCTTTTCTCCTGTGGAGTAGCTGGTAGATTTGAACCACTAACCTTCTGCTTATCAGCTGAGTGCATAACCATTGCGCCACTAGAATTCCTTCAATTTGTTATGTAGTTATGAGAAAATAATACACTAAAATAATCATCTATTCCTGGAAAGTACAGAATAGACATTGCATAGAAAATAGTCTTTTTTTTTTTTTTTTTTTTCAATTAAAACATTTCTGTGTTAATATATTATTTATTGCTTTTATAACATAGTGTCAGTTTTTAAAAGTAACAGTGAATAAGCTTATCATCACTAATATTGACCACTTAAATGGTATGAATCACTAAATTTTTAAAATAATAGGACACTAATGATTTTTTTGAGTGTGTGGTATGGAGCTTAACCCAATTTTGTTCCTATTTGTGGCCTCTCTCAGCTGCCATATTTTTGCCTGATTGGCTCGAATATTCTCAGCTCCTGCCACCTCTTACTTTACCTACAGTGCCTTAGGATCTTAGTAATTTTTATCACCTTTCTCTGTATTTTTGTTCCTGAGGCAGCTTTTCCTCACTAGAAAGTAATAATTTTATCTTGAAAAACCTTGTCTGTCAAAGGTTTTTCATCTTACCAGTTGGCACATATGGACTATTTCAGTGCCAAGCGTCTCCAGGCTGTTTTTATCTAGATCATCTCTAAGCTTCATAGCATCTTTGCAAGGTCTATTGTCTTGATTCGATACGTGAAGAAATTAAGCTAATAAGTTGCCAAGCTCTGATTTGGACTAGATCTCTTAGATCCCTCCACTCTGGTTCACTGTCCCTTGTGACAGGGTTAGTACCCTGGTCACAGGATCATTTGAGTGTTCTTTTTACCCTGGTATGATGGCCAGTTGATGTCCTCATGTGACCCCTGCTTCCTCTCCCAGGTGGCAGATATGTTGTTGGAACTCTGTGTAACTGAGTTAGAAGATGTAGCGACAGACTCGCAGACTGGGCGCCTTTCCTCCCAGCCAGTGGTTGTGGAGAGCAGCCATCCCTACACCGATGACACGTCCATCAGTGGCACAGTGAAAATACCAGGTACTCAGGATTGAACACTGGGGAGAGGATGGAAAGGGATGCTGCCTTTAGAGTCTAAGCTTTCCTACCAATTGCATTGGTAGGAAAATACCATTGTTTTTATACAAAAGAAACTGTAGAATTGTTTTGTCCTCCTTTTTTAAAAAACAAAAAACAACTTTTTTTTTGCAAAATAAGCATGATAGATTACCCACTGCAATGAAATCGATTCTGACTCCTAGCAACCCTTTAAGACAAAGTAGAACTGCCCAGAGGGTTTCCAAGGCTGTAAATCTTTACACAAGCAAACTGCCTCATCTTTTTCCCACAGAGCAGCTGGTGTGTTCAAACTGCCGACCTTTTCATTAGCAGCCGGATGCTTCAAATACTATGTCACCAGGGCTCCATGATACATACAGCCACACAAAATAAATTATTTGCTTGATACCTATCAGGTGGGTGCCCTAGTAAACAAACCCAGGACTAGAAATAGCCTTTGGACAGCCACTAGAAACTCACTGTGTGTCAAGTCACAGTTCTGTCCTATTAAAATGACTATCCCAACACTGCCCCAACTGTCACTGACTCATGTCTCTGGATTGTTCCTGTCACCTAAGTATACATCCTCTTTTAAATCCCTTTACTCTGTAATCTCCATCTTTTCATTTTCTTTTAATCTGTAATTTCTTTTTTTAAATTGTGATAAAATAAATAAAACATTTGCCATTTCAACATTTTTATGTGTACAATTCAGTGAAATTAATTAGGTTCATCGTGTTGTATAAAATCGTTACTATCTGTTAACAGATTTTTTGTCATGCTTAACTGAAACTCAGTGCCAGCTAAGCAATAACTTTTTCCTTACTACCCTTCACCACTAATGAACTTGGATATCTATACATTTGTATAATCTAGATATTTCGTGTAAGTGGGATCATACAGTATTTTGTCCTTTTGTAATTGTTTTGCTCAGCATAATGTTTTCAGAGTTCATTTCTCTTTATGGCTGTGTGATATGCCATGAAGGAGCCCTGGTGATTAGGCATTTAGCTGCTAACATAAGGGTGAGCGGTTCGAACCTACCAGTCATGGTACAGGAGAAAGATGTGACAGTCTACTTTTGTAAACATTTACATCCTTAGAAACCCTATGAGGCAGTTCTACTCTGTCTTGTACAGTTGCTATGAGGTGGGATCAACTTGATGACAATGTTTTGCTTTTTTAAAAAATACTCCGTTGTATGTCCATGCCAAATTTAATTTATCCTTTCATTTGTTAATGAGCATTTAGGTTGTTTCCACTTTTTGCCTATTGTGAATAATGCTGCAGTGAACATTGTGTACATGTTTCTGTTTGTGTTCCTGCTTTCAGTTCTTCTGGGTGTATACCTAGGGGAAATTGCTGGGTAATATGGTAATTCTATGTATAACTTTTTGAGGAACTGCCAACCTGTTTTTCACAGAGGCTATATACCATTTTACATCATCTGTGGGTAAGCTTATCCAGTTTTCTCACATCTTTCCCAACATCTATTATTTTACATGTTTTTGATCATATCATTCTAGTAGATGGGAAGTTATATCTCATTGTGGTTTTGATTTGCATTTCCCTAAATACAAATGATGTTGAACATTCTTCATGTACGTGTTGACCATTTGAATATGTTTTTTAGTGAAATGCCTGTTCAACTCTTTTGCCTATATTTGATTGGGTTTATATTTTTATTGTTAAGTAGTAGGAGTTTTTATATATTCTGGATATTAAACCCTTAACTGATATGGTTCCAGAAATTTTCTCCCAATCTGTAGGCTGTTTCTTCATTTTGTTGATAAAGTCTTTGATGCACAAAATAATTTTGACAAAATTCAGTTCATCTAGTTTGGTTATTTTTTTGCTGCTTGTGCTTTTGATGTCATATCTAAAACTATATTGTCAAAAATTAGGTTCAGAAGTCTGATTCAGTGTTTTCTTGTAAGAGTTTTATGGTTTCACTTTTTAACAATTAGGCCCATGAAAATTTTAACTTATGTTTTGCATATGGTGTGAAGTACAAGTCCACCATCATTGGTCATTCTGCATGTGGAAACCTTGTTATTCCTGCACCATTTTATTGAAGAAACTATTATTTCCCCATTGAAAGGGATATAGCAGCCTTGTCAAAAATCACTTGACCATAGATACATGAGTTCATTTATGGATTCTCAGTTCTCTCCTGTTGGCCTCTCTATCATAATACCAGTACCAGGCACCTTTGATTACAGTTAAATGCCAGCAAGTCATCTCCAACTCTTAGTGACCTTATGTACTACAGAATGAAACACTGCCCCATCCTGTACCACGTTCACAATCCCTACTTATATCTGAGCCCATTTTTGCAGCCACCATGTCAATCTATCTTGTTGAGGGCCTTCCCTCTACCAAGCATGATAACCATCTCCAGAGAATGGTCCCTTTTATAACATGACCAAAGTAGGTGAAACAAAGTCTGGCCATTCTTGCTTCCAAAGAGCATTCTGGCTACACTTCTTGTGGGACAGATTTAGTAGTTCTTTTAGCAATCCAAGGTACCTTGAGCATACTTTGCTAACACCACATCATAAAAGAATCAACTCTTCTTCAGTCTTCCTCATTCACTGTCCAGCTGTCACATGCATACGAGGTGATTGAAAATATGATGGGTTGGATTACACGCCTCTTAGTCTTCAAGGAGGTATCTTTGCTCTTCATTACTTGAAAGAAGTCTTTTGCAACAGATTTGTCTGAGGCAATACATCTTTTGATGTCTTGACTGCTGCTTCCATTGGCGTTGATTATAGAACCAAGTAATATGAAGTCTTTGACAACTTTAATGTTTTTTTCCATCTGTCATGATGCTGCTTATTGGTCCTGTTGTGAGGATTTTTGTTTACTTTATATTGAGGTGTAATCCGTACTGCAGACTGTAGTGTTTAACCTTCACCAGTAAGTGCTCCAAGTCATCCTCACTTTCAGCAAGCAAATTTGTGTTGTCTGCGTATCTCAGGTTGTTAATGAGCCTTCTTCCGATCTTGATGCCACATTCTTCTTCATATAGTCCAACTTTTTGGATTATTTGCTCAGCATGCAGATTGAATAAGTATGGTGAAAGGATACAACCCTGACGTACTCTCTTCTTGATTTTAAACTTACAGTATCACTTTGTTCTGTTTGAACAACAGCTTCCTGGTCTATGTGTACAGGTTCCTCAAGTGTTCTGGAATTCCAATTCTTCTCAGTGTTATCCGCAATTTGTTAAGAGCCACACAGTCAATTGCCTTTGCATAGTCAATAAAATACAAGTAAGCATCTTTCTGTTATTCTTTGCTTTGAGCCAAGATCCATCTGACATCATCTATGATATCCCTTACTCTACATCCCCTTCTGAATCCAGCTTGCATTTGTGGAAGATCTCTGTCAGTATACAGGTGCAACCATTTTTGAGTTATCTTCAGTAAGATTTTATTTGCATGTGATATCAATGATACTCAATAATTCTCACATTCTGTGGGATCACCATTGTTTGGAATGGGTACAAATATGGATCTCTTTCAGTCACTTGGCCAAATCTTCCAAATGTCTTGGCATAGCCACGTGAGTGCCTCCAGCACAGCATCCATTTCTTAAAACATCCCAGTGGGTATTCCATCATTTCCCAGAGCCTTATTTTTTGCCAATTCCTTTAGTGCAGCACTGACTTTTTCCTTCAACACCTCCTGATCATATGCCACCTCCTGAAATGGATGATCATCTACCAATTCTTTTTGGTGTAGTCACTCTGTGTATTTATCCATCTTCTTTTATGTTTGTCTTTTTGGTATTGAGGTATTGAAGTTTTCTATAGATTTTGGAGATAAGTCCTTTGTCAGAAATGTTGGGCAAATATTTTCTCCTAATCTGTAGGTTCTCTTTTTACCTATTTGACAAAGTCTATTGATGCACATAAAAATTTAATTTTTAAAGGTCCCAGTATCTAGCTTCTCTTCCACAGCCTGTGCATTCTGGGTTATGTGTGATAGTCTATTTATGCCATAAATTAGGGCTCCTAGATTTGCCCCTATTTTATCTTTGATGAATTTTATAGTTTTGGGTTTTATATTTAAGTCTTTGATGCAACTTGAGTTTGTTTTCATGTTTGGTGTGAGGTATGGGTCTTGTTTCATTTCTCTTCAAGTGGAT